CCGGGTGGAGGGGAGCTATGGGGGGAAAAAGAGGAACAAATGTAATAATCTGAACAATAAAGATTTAATTAAAAAAATAAAAATAAAATCAAGGGCCTAATTCCATATCCTCATTTTATAGATGAGAAAATTGAAAATTGAGCTGAGAGAAGTTGACTTACCCAAGGCCACATGGCTCAATTAATACCAGAGAGTTTGAACAGAATTTGGGATGGGGGGCAGGGAGTAGTAGTCCTCACTATAAACCAGCTGTCAGTTGCCCAATCACACAGCCAGGGGTAGCCAGGTAGCCATCACAAGTTCTTGAGAGGTGGGGCATAGCAACCAATTCATGCTCTTTCAGAAGCTCTCAAAGTGCCCTTTCTTCTTCTTCTTTGTGTCACCAATTTAGATGGTTTCAAAAGTGAAGGAAGAGTAGGAATTTAAATGGCTGGTGCTGGGAATTTTAGAGCCATACCATTTCTACTATATGCAAATATCTTTTTCAATCAATAGAAAAACTGGCTGCTAACATGTGAGCTGAGCCATTTTATTCACTCTTGGCCTTAATTACTTCATTATCCTGAACCTGCCTGATTTAAACTCTTCAGCTACTTGCCCCTAAGTTTCTAGGGCTGGCTCCAGTTTGTACTTTTTAAGAAGTGTTAAGAATTTGACCCTTGATATTTTAAAACTAATTTGACAGAAGACACAACTTACATAAAAAATTGGGCAGATGTTCACTAGAACCAAATTTTCTAAGTTTTCTATTGAGTGTAAAAGGGCTATGTCACAGGACTAATAGATAGATTCGTGGTTTGGATTCACCATTGTCTTTGGAAAAGACATGATATAATGACTTCTGGGCCCATTTTGAAGCTTTGAAATCACTGGTTCAGGTCCATCACAGAAAAAGCCCATGATCCATCAGTTACCAACCAAGTTCGAGCTGGGTCGATTACATGACAAAAATTAGATCTAAATAATTAGATCTAGACATGGAAGCAAGCAGGGTGGGGTGGAGTTGAGGTCTGAAAGAACCAGGGAGTGTGGAGTGGCGTGGATAAATAAATAAATGAACAAATCTAGGATTTTTTTTGAAGACCTAAATGGGGTGAAATGAATTATTTTACAGGTGGCAGTTCTAGGGAAATGTTTACAAAACCTCTTCAACACCCAAACATACTATGGCCCCA